GAGGTTGTACGATGCAAATTTCTTTGTCCCAAGGAGAGGCAACAATCTCTGACAAAGGCCAAAAAAATACCAACTGAAATATCATTTGGTTGTGAGATACATTAAATCCATTTGAGTGATATTACTCATCCGGGGAATGCTATTTTTTTTAGCACGTTTGTCTTTTCATTTGTTTTTTCAAAGTGTCACGTCATTCTATCTTGAATTTAGATGTCTTCTATTGCTAGCTTGTGTAGTTTTCAGCCAAGCATCACAGAAAGGAACTTTTCTTCTCTCGGGGATGAACATTACAATATCCATCAAGTGTCTTTCCATGGCAGATCCTAGATAAACCACATACCTCATTAGCAGGTGCATGATTACCTTTTTTATCCCCAGCTTTGGGTTATTGTTATTTTTTCTCTGAGTTGCTTGAGGCCAGAAACAGAAGAAACAATCTGGAGTACAAACCCTCTCAGTTAACCTGACAATAACCCTGATACAAGAGTGCATTATTTTTAAAAAAAGCTGGGATGTTCCTAATTGCATGATTCTTATATTTAAGGCACAGTTGACTGAGTTTTCGGTTGATCTTGGCCTTCTCATTGACCCGAGGCAGTAAATTCTTCCTCCCTTTATCCACAGCTTCTTCCTTTTGCTGTTCAAATAGTTTGTCAGCAAATTATCCAGTTAATAAAGAGCCAGCGATGACAGTTTTGCAAAACATAGTGGGACCTAATTGAGCCTGATCAATCTGCAAGCAAAACAAACAGAGAAAGAGAGAGGGAGAGGAGGGGAATGTGCTCAGAAGGGTAAAGAGAAATTGATTAATGAATTCCAAGACTCCCTGGTGCTTAAAGACAAACCAACAATTGAATTATATACTGTATGTAATTTATTTAAAAATAGAATGAAGATGAGCATTAGTTAAGTGCCAGAACTGTGGAACACAGAATTTGACTATCCAATCAATGGGTGTTGGTTTTAAGAAATGTAAAATATATTTAGTATTTTAGTATTTATTTGATTTGTCGATCGCTTACAAGATACAGGTATAAGAATAAATATAGTTTTGAATACATGAGATAGATACTTATAAGAAAAATAAAAAAACAATAGGACAGGGACGGTAGGCACGATTGGTGCGTTTATGCACACCCTTTACAGGCCTCTTAGGAAGGGGGTGAGGTCAATAGTAGACAGTCTAAAGTTAAAGTTTTTGGGGTTTGGGGAAGAAACCACAGAGTCAGGTAGAGTATTCCAAACATTGACCACTCTGTTGCTGAAGTCGTATTTTCTGCAGTCAAGTTTGGTGCAGTTAACCTTGAGTTTGTATCTATTGTGTGCTCTTGTATTGTTATGAATGAAGCTGAAATATTCATTTGCAGGTAGGACATTTCAATGTATGATTTTATATACTATATTTAGATCGGACCGGAGGTGGCGTAGTTCTAGATTTTCTAGGTCTAGAGTTTCAAGTCTGGTGGCATAAGGTATTCTGCAATGAGTAGAGGAGCGGAGAACTCTTGTGAAAAATTTCTGGACATTTTCAATTGTGTTAATATTAGATAGATGATATGGGTTTAAATATGATTTAAAGGATAAAGATAACTCATCAGAAAATATTACTTCATGTCTAAAAAATGGATGTTTAAACAAGGTTGGATGTCAAATTTGTGTGTGTGTGTGTGTGTGTGTGTATGTGTGTGTTGGCATTTAAAGAAGTTTTAGGTTTCTTTATATGATTTAGTCTTGTCCTATCATGGCTATTATGTATGTATGTATGTTGTATGTATGTATGTATGTATGTATGTATGTAAGGATGGATGGATCCACCATCACACATATCATTCTCAAATTTATCCTTCTTCAGCCTTCTCAATTCTAGTATTTTTCAAATATATGGAATTTATTACCCATAGTAACCCGTTAAAGTAGTGAGATACTAAACAACAGTGCCCACAGAATGCCACAAGACAACAAAGAATGATAGCACATGTGCAATGATATTGTGATGTTAATCTTAACCTTATATACAGGATCTAGCCTTGCAAAGTTTGAGAACCTCTTGTCTTATTATTGTTAGGATTTGTTGCGTTTCTTATAATAATGCAATTTCAAAATGATACGTTAGTGTGTCATCATTTTTAACTATTACAGTAATTCTCATTTTGAAGGTTTAACATGATGAATAATTGTTAGAATTATCATTGAAGTTCCTGTCTGATTTAGATTAATTTTTATTGAATAGTTGCTGAGGTAAACTACCTGGAGTGATGCATAATAAGAGCAATTAATAAATTACGATTTGTAAATCCTAAGGGTTGAGTTTGCACAAGATTGTCCTAAAGCAGAGCGGATAATTGTGTCTCCAAAGCCACGGGTAGCATCCAAATTTTTTTCTTGGGGTCTTTAGCTTCAACTCTGATGGCCACGACTATGGTAAATGAGATGAAGTGTCTTTCCACATGGATTGGTGGAAGGAACAAAGGAACAATGGCAAAAAAGCCTAACCCAGTTTAACAGTTAGTTCCACCTACTTTTGCCTTGTAGCTGTTGAAGCCATTAGTCTACCCCCCACCCCCCACCCACGCACACATTATGAAGGCACCATAAAGTTGTTCACCTGTGTGTTAAGGCAATAAATAGACCCAAAATGCATTCAGATCCGTTCTTCTGTTTTGTCTACTAGGGGTTGTTTTCTCTGGAATTATGCAAATACATGCATACGTGCTACCGGCTTGCCCTTGAAAAGAACACCTTCCCTGTGAGGGAATGTCTTTTCCTAATGGGTTGTTTTACAAAAACTGGCAAAGAAGGTGAGACGACCGTAATGCCCCCTTGAGCCTGGGAGGAACTTACAAATGCCTACCAAGTAACGTTGGGGCCGCCTCCTCTCCGAGGCCGTTCTTGGAAACAATAAGCTTCAGTGTTTCCACCAGATAATGGACATGTTAGAACAGATGGAGGGGTTAGCTCACCTTGTTTGTCTGCCAGCCTCCGAAGAGCACACCTTTTCTCTTTTGGCATCATTGACAGGTTTCATCAGCCAAGGCAAGACTGAATTCACCCCGAGTGCTATGGAACAAAAATGTAATTACTTCTGTCATTCAGTTAAGTGGTGAATAGTTTGCATACTGCGTTGTGACTGAGAGTTAATTCAAATCCATCATACTCACAGGCTCAACTTCTGCCACAGATGGGATGATTATTATTATTGTTTTTTTTTTAAAAAGAAGGTTTGGAGCCAAATACACACATACATACACCCGTTCACCCACACCCACGCATTGGCACATAATGTGCACATTTTTTCCCATCATGTTTGTCTGAACAGTCAACGAGAATGTGGATTATCAATTACTAGATGGTAGTGATGATAGAGATGTTCATTTTTTCCAAGAGGTGCCGGTAAATAAGAATTATCGGGCCAGACATTTTCCTGCCAAACATTTTCCATTTTGAGATCATTTGGAGAGAAGTGGGACCTGAATCAATGACTATAGAGATTCTCAGTCATCCAGGTAATGGTCATCCCAAAGGTGCTTTTTCAAGAAGCAAGTGGACTTCACTCAGAGCTGAAGAAGCTTCTTGGATGAGAAGCAAAACCTCTTCAGAGAAAAACCAGAAAGTCCAGTCGCCTCTTGAAAAAGCACCTTTGGGACGACCTGAACCAGTGATTAATATCAGAGTTAAAGGAGAAGATCGAAGCTTCCTTTGGGAATATACAATATTTGAGAAAAGAATCTTCATTCAAAAAACTTGTTTCATAAAGAACCCAAATCAGAGGCAGAAATTTTAGCACCAAGACGACCAGATTAGAAATGATGAGGTGACATCAAATGGCTACAAGGAGAAGTCTTCCTTGCAGTCCTGTATATGAATACTTAAAGGTAGCCTCCATTTTATTTATTTTGTCAAATACTTACAATATAATAGAAATAAGAATAAACATAAGTTTAAATATAAGAAATAGGAACTAATAATTGGGGACAATAGGACAGGGACGGTAGGCATGATTGTGCATTTATGCACGCCCCTTACAGACCTCTTAGGAATGGGGTGAGCTCAATAGAGGTTAGTTTGAGGGTAAAGGAGTGGGGGTTTGAGCAGGTGACAATAGAATCAGGTAATGAGTTCCAGGCATTGACCACTCTGTTGCTGAAATCATACTTCCTGCAATCAAGTTTGGAGCAGTTTACATTAACTGGTAAGACATTGTAACATATGATTTTATGTACTATGCTTAAATCCAATCTTAGCTGGTGTAGTTCAAGGTTGTTTAAGCCTAGAACCTCAAGTCTGGTGGTGTAGGGTATTGCGAACAGAGGAATGTAGTACTCTTCTGGTAAAACACTTCTAGACTCTCTCAATTGTTTTTATGTCTGATATACAGTGCAGATTCCAGACAGCAGAACTGTAATTCCATGGCTATTACTTCCAGGTTCATTGATATAAGATTGTAGTCTTAATGTATATATGATCCATGATTATGACCTTCCATGCAGATGTGTCTTCTAGTACAGGACATGCTCTTAAGATTCTTCTCCAAGTTGACCTATACTTTGTGCAACTGTATGCTATGCAAGGCTTTATCTGATACCATCATCATTGTCTGGAGTTATCTAGCAAGTTGTAGTATGCTTTTAAGGTATATGGGAATGCAGGCTATTAGTTATCTTCTGTCTCACTATAGCTATAGGTCATAGAATCATAGGACTAGAAGGGACATAAATACATAAGAACATAAGGAGTGCTCTGCTGAATGAGACCTCTGACCCATCTAGTCTACCAGTTTGTTCTCATAGTGCCAACCAACTGTACAAGGAAGCTGACAACAGATTACCTTCAGAGGCAGTCCACTGCCATCAAAGCCAATAGTTATTGATCCCTAGCTAAGTTGATAGCCATTACCCATCACGTATCAAAGTAATGTATATAAAGGGACTTCTGCTCCATGGAAGCTTGGATGTTAAGGAAGAAAGATAAGAGAGAGAGAGAAAATTCCATTGACTCCTTTATTTACACATTTTATTTTTTAATTTAAAAATAAAGGTTATCTTGATACAGTTCTTTGCAGCATCTGCGCAAAAAAAAAGCACCCTTTAACAAGACTGTAGGAAACAAGATGGTTATCTAAACTTTGGCACACAGGACTGGAAAATAAAACGCAATCCCTCTCCTGCAATTTTTTTTCCTCTCAGGTTCATGATTTGTTTTCCTGGGTGAATGGTTTAGTGCTCCTTACCTGCATTGCTAAACAGGAGAAACAGTTCCAAGGTGGGAAATGGCAACCACAACAACAACAAATGGAACCTTCCAAAACTGATGGAAAGAGATGGACCCGAAGACTCTTCCTGAACTGATCTGGAGTAGAGGATTCTGGGAGTTGAAGTCCACAGGTTTTAAAGTTGCCAAAGTTGGACACCCTTGATCTATATTGTTATAATTGTATGAATGTGGCTCCATCCACCAAAGGGTGAAGAACTTCAATCCCAAGGACTGCATCAAAGCCCCGCCCCTCCCTTATGTGTATCAGATGTGCAACCTGGTAAAATAAGGGCACCAGACAGTTGTGGGAACCCTCTTGATTCTTCTGACAGTCTGGTTCGCAGGTATTTTTTTTCTTTAAAAGCTGGATTGCATCACAATAGCATATCTATTTGCTGGAACTCATTACTCAGAAGAATATAGTTAATTGAATAAGTGATGACATTTCCCAACGTGTGAGCAAGCCTGAATCTCACACGGCTTGTGAGATTGGGCTGTTTCCAGTAAAAACTACCCTGACAAATTTCAGATCCAGTGAACTGACCTGATCTTTGTTTCATCCATTTTACAAATAGATAAAAATTCAGTAACTCTGGAGCTTCTGCCATCACCAACATTTTAATACAATTCTTGGCACAAAGGCATCAAAAATACTTGCAAACCTTTACCTTGAGGGAACAAACATTTAAAAATACAAATGGTGTGTAGGAGCAAATAACATTTTTAAAAAAACAGCTTTCAAATACAATTTTGATGCACACTTTGGATGCTTTGTTTAAAACGATGATTTCATTTTTAAAAATGGAAGAAACTTACAAAGGAGATAGCAACAGAGGCTGAAGGAAACTCCTAGCTGCTGCTCCTTAACATAAACTGGCCAGAGGTGAACATATAAAGGCTAAACTGGCTTTTGATTATGGCAGCTTAAATTCTTAACAATTCATTGCACAGTTACCCCTCGGGGAAATATTATATTCTAGTGTTTTGCTTGCTCTCCTATTAACTTCCACTTCATTTCCAGGGTAATACAGTATTCCAGATGATTGAAGGAAAAACTTGCTTTAGAGCTCCAGTCATATTCTCTGTATCGAAAGAAGCCATTAAATTGTATGCACTGTCAATCTGCTCAAGGGTTCTCCAGAAGAAATATGTCAGTCTGGCAGTGATCCAGTTGTGGAAGACTCTCATGCAAGATCTTTTCAGGATACACTTATGCCCAAGTGGATCACTTCTCTGTCTCCAGTACCACCACACAAGCCTTCTTCTACTAAGTTAAACCCAGACCACAGTCTAGATAGAGGGGACTGGAGACTGCTATTATGTCACCTCCCTCTTGTTATTGCCTTTCTACTCAGAGAAGCAAGTTGAGTAAATAGCAGAGTTGGGCTGGCAGTATCCATTCAGATTTGCCACTGATCATCTCCAGAGAACTTGATGCGCTCCTCAAAATTCCAGCCTCTGATGTTGATTCTGGTATTGTATGGAACAATATAATTTACTTACAGTGCAATGAGGACAAAGAGCAGCCAGTATGGAGCTGTGTGTATCAGCCATAGTTCTGAATCACAACTTCAGCCTACTGAATTGCTAAAATCAGCCCCGGATCATGGTTGATCAAATCAATGTGTTTGCTGTCAAGGCAGCTCTTCCTAGGTCATTTGCTTCTTCTCCCTCTCCTGGTGGCTTAAATGATCTTTTAGAAAATTAGCTCACCCAAGACTCACAATTCGAGAGCATCATTAATATTTCTCTTGACTGCCACCAAAATCACTCTCTGGCCAGCATAATGGGAGACATCCCCCTATTTTGAATGACCCACGAAAATGCTTTGCATTGGCACATTTACAAAACGCAACAGTGGGAATCCTGTTCTTTGGTAGTTGCCACTTAGAATCCATTTTAAAGCATTCTGAATAATAATTATAACAACAACAACAACACCAATTATGGCAAGAAAAAGAACCAGTATCTTCAGCATGCTGAAGTCCGTAAAATGCTTCTTCTCGTGGAAACATGAGGAGTTGAGTCGCTTGTGTTGTTTTGGAAGCGCCAATCTCTTAAGCATGCAGTTTTGGGGAGAATTTCTCATTCCAGGATACGTGTAGGGAAAGTGTATACTTGACACTGGGAGTCAAGAAATCATCCTGGTTAACATTGGATCTCTTCATCCAACCGTCACCTATCACACCAACTGATATCTTAAGGCACAAGGTGCAGGGAAATCCAGTTTATGCATTGTCCCCTGGGGGAGCCTTGAGGTGGCTCTTAACTTGAGGTTGTCAGCCCTGTAGATGCCTCTGCTATGTGTTTAGGAGATCCATCCGTTTCCGAAGAGGAGCTCAACTGCTCCTTGGTCAACCCACAGTCTTCTTCTGCTTGGCTTTCCTTCAAGACGTCTGGCTGAGTTTGGCTGTTCAACTTTTCTTCTGCTTCGATTTCCTCTGAGGTGGGAATGGAATTTTTCTTTGGGCGGCCTTTGGGCTTTGTGGGTGCCTCCTGCCCTCCTTTCAGGACCTGGAAAAAAATAAATAAACGAAGCTGTTATGGCTGTACTGTAATCCTGCTGTCCAAGTTACAGAGAGGCGAATGGACCGATTTTTGCTTCTTTGTGTCGTCTCCATCTTAACTTTATTTTGCTCAATGCCCTACATTCAGTGGTGGGATTCAAATCATTTAACAACCGGTTTTCTGCCCTAATGACTGGCTGGCTGGGCGTGGCCAGGGGGTGTGACAGGCAGCACTCGGTCTCCTGCACCTCCCTGGGAGGAAAAATGGGCTGGGGGGGAGGGGCTGTGCCACACCCCTCCTCCTTTATCCTGTTTTGGGCCTAGTAAGCCTCCCTGCACTAAACTGGGAGCCAAAATGGGGTGTGTGTGTGTGGGGGGGGCTTGCGCTGCCCTCCCTCGTGTCCCATTTTGGGCCTAGTAAGCCACCCTGAAGCCTCCTAGGAGCAAAAAACAGCTGCAGGGGGGGCTGCATTGCACTTCCCCCTGCACCCTGTTTTGGACCTAGTAAGCCTGCATTTACCTGGGAGCCAAAATGAGGTGTGTGGGGACTTCTGCAAGAGGTGGGGCAGGGCGGGGCAGGGCCAGGCAGAGGTGGTATTTGCAGGTTCTCTGAACCAGTCAAAATTTCCACTACCAATATGCCAGAACCGGTCCGAACCAGCTGAATACCCCCCTCCCTACATTGGTTGACATTAATGATCTCCTCCCCCGTTATTAACATTTTGTGCATTTTTGCCTAATTTACACATTTGCCGAGCCATTTCCCCTAATTTATCACATGCTCGCCTATTATTTTCACTGATTCGTACATTTTATGCATAAAAATACATATTTTATTGTTTTGGGGCAGGAGCAATGCGTGGAGAAGAGTTTTAATATATGCACTGTTTGAGAGGTGAGTCAGATATGCAATTAAAAGCAAGTAGAAAACATTCTTCCCATATCATGAACACTAGTCATTGGTGCTCCAGGCAGCACGCTATTTTCCATTTATTGATTTATTCATCCATCACATTTCTATACCTCCCATCTATCCCATCATGCCATCCCATCAAAATTTTACCATTGTGCAAATTCTGGAGACAACAAACAACTAGAGTCAAAATCACTAGACGTTTAAAAAAAAAGAACTAGAGAAAAAAAATCACACCAGTGCCCAAAACTTTATACGTAACTTGGCATTAATTAACTATGGTATTGTTTTTTATTGTGGATAAAATAAGGATTTCTTTGTCAAAGGCTAAACATCCTTAGGCCACAAAGATAAAAACTATAAAAATAATCTTGCCAAAACAAAAAAACTGGTGAACCAATACACACAAATATTTGCAATACTCAGATTATGATTATAAAATGAAGGCGACACACTCAAAAACTCAATCCATTTTTATGTGTTTTACCAACAGAACTTCAATTGCACCATTTTGAGGTTGTGGCTATTGTTTGACCCCATACCTTATAAAGAATCCTGGTGTCCCTTATTTTTTTGTGGGGTGGATAGGCTTAATTATGGTTTTAGAGACACCTTGAAATCAACTGATACGTTCCTCAGGGTCAGATTCAATCCTGTTGAAGTCACTCAACTGACAGTCAGTTTAACCATTATTACTCCCTCCGAATTCCTTAAATGCTTACCATTTTTTTCCATTTCATCCTGCGATTTTGATACCAGGTTTTCACTTGGAGTTGAGTGAGGCCCAGTGACTGAGCAAGATCCAGCCTAGAAGAGAAACTATCCAGATTAATGAACAAGAAGACATCATCATTCATTGCCAAGACCTGATTGCACTGCATCTTATTGAAAGAGAGCAAATGGTGCATGCATTATTGTGTGGATCAAGAGACCAGCAGCTTAATTGGACATGACTAATGATGAGAGAAGACCAATGACTAATGATCAAACAAGAGCAATGGCCACAATATTGGTCATTGAAGGGTTTCTAAGCCAGTCATGCCAAACTCAAGAGGAAGTTAGTCTAAGAAAGTAAATGAAGGCCTGTGCTCTAAATTTGCTTTTTAAAAGCAAACATTTTAATTTGCTTAGGGATTGTATTAACTAAATGGTTCTAAGCATTGGGTTTACTTCTCAGCAGGGATGCCTTGCACCCTTTCTACCAGTTCTGCTTTCAGATTACACAACATGAATTGTGTCGTGCTGGTTCAGAATAACAAAAGAAATTGGTTACATTAAGAATGACCCTGTAAAAAAGGAATAGGTAACTTCCTCTGGTTCAGAAGCTGTACTAGGATTTTATGTGGCATGCTGAGAATTGCACTGCAGAACAGGATGAAGCCAGAGTCCATCCTGAAGAGCATTTCAGAAGATTGAAATGGTATTTGAAGCAATTGAAAGATATTCGCTATTTATTTTTCTTCTTAATTCCTCTCAATCTTCAAAATTGTCAAAGACGGTCCTACTTTTTGGGCCCAACTGTTCTATTGGCTTCTGGGGGAAGGGTACTGACGTGTGGTTTTTGTTGTTGTTGGTATTTGCCCCAAGAAGCCATAAATCTGGTAGGTGAGCTTGCCATTTTAAACATGTTTATCTCCATTATAAAACCCTTAAGCTAAAAATAGCAACAACAAAAAATGTTCTCCTGCTGGACAGACTGTAGTATTACATGATCCACTAAAGAAGAAAAAAAGCTGGACAATACTGACCAAATTAACTGTAAAATTGGTGGGCAAAATAAAGTTCTATGTTGCATGTTCACAAGTTAGATGAGCTGCCTAAACAGGAAAAAAATTTCATCACAGTTGTGAGAAACTGGGGCTTAAAACATTTGATCTACTGTGTCTCAGAGATCTGGCTAAGGGTAACCAAATAAGCCTTTCTTTTTAGAGATAAGAAACTAGTGTGGCTGAGAAATGTTAAAGCAAGAATAGTTATGGCAAAAGACTTTTTATTTTACTTTGGCAAAGTACAACTATTGGAGTTGGACATCCTGGCTGATCTATTGATAGTTGTTAAGAACAAGAAGATCTTGTTCTACTTTCTGCTTTCTGACTGATTTTTAAGCCCAACACAGTCTTCTCTAACACAGCAGATAGCAGAGGGTATTCCCCTAATATCGGAACTGTGTTTACCTAATCATCAGAGCCAGGATGTCAGAGTGAAGCTCATGAAACTCACTGAACAAAGACACTTGAATGAAACTTGCTAGTGCTGCTCATGAGTTATGCCTTTTCCATGATTAATATTAGTGAACCAGAACATAAATGGTGCGGAGGCAACATAAACAAACATGATGCACCTTGTCTTGTTTCATGCACCAGCAGTTGCGCAACCAGTGATGGTGAATTAGTCTAAAGTTTCTCAACCATTTTTTTTTCTTCAGATGCCCTGCCCAGCGTATACAATACGTTCTGTTCCTTGTTTGCAGTTGTGGAAGAGTGGCAAAAGCATTTGTACTTTGTTTGGAAACAAGCGACGGCTATATAGGCTGAGATCATACAATTTAGCATAGCGGGGTTAACAAAACACAGTGTAGTGTGCCCCACTTAACAGGTTATGTCCAAGCAAAGGCATCATATTGTAGTTTAATGTGATGATCTGATACATACAACATGCTAAGACAATGGTGGGCTTCCATAGGTTGATATACAGAGATCCCCAAACATATTTGGTCTAATACAAATGAGATCTGGCCTGTGGGACTGTCCTGGAAACAGTGAAGGACTGGCCTGTGGTGCCTCTGCCAGAGAAAATAGAGCTTGGGAGAGGCATGTGTAGCACCCTGTGCTCCGTGTTTGGCCTCAGTGGCTTCCTGCAGCCCTCTGCCAATGAAAACAGATCCCCCCAGCCTCACCCAGGCCACCACAGCTGCCCTCAACACAAGTGATGTTGAACTGGCCATGCCCACCCTGGCCACGCCCACCCTGGTCACACCCACCCAGCCACCCAACGTCAAACGCAACCCTGATGCAGCCCTCAATGAAATTGAGTTTGACACTCCTGGTCGGATATAACATATTGGATGAACCGAACTGAAAAATCTTGCAAGAGAGGGGATGATGGGAAGCTGCTAGGAGCACAGTGGAGCTAGCATGGTTCATGAGATCAGCAGGTCCACATTCAAGACCTGGGTGCCACCATGGGACAGGGTGAGCTCTTGTCCTTCGCTCCATCTCCTGCCAAGCCCATGAAAAGAGCCTCCAACTGCCTGGGTAATGGTGACGTCACCAGCTAATCTTTTTCAACCCAAAAGCATCTTGGTGCTTCTGACATGAGTGCAATGGGATGGGAAGTCATTTACATTGAACTAGAAGGTCTCAACCAGTTTGGGCAACCTTTCAGCTCTTTGGGGCTTTATCAACCTGTCATTACAAGCAATGGCTAGAGATTGTGATCTATCCTCCACAACTGAAAGTGCACTTTCAAACCATATTTATTTTGTTTTTCAAGCTGTCCAGAGCTGCAGGGGACATAGAGAAGAAACAATAGTGTCATCTATCAGATGATTATTATTCTTATTTTTAACTTCTTCATGAAGCAGACAAATCCCAGCGCTGTGATAGGATGGAGGACTCACCACAATTTACTCCTGATCCATGAAAGTTCATGCAATCCTTGTTTAAAGTCCCCTGTGCTAGCAAGCCTAGGTTTGTATCTTAGGGCATTGAGATTGATCAAGTTGGCATCTTCAGAATCTCCAAACCATAAACATTGCCCAGAAAATTTTCTGAGAAATTGGATAACACAATGTATTCGCCCTTTTACTGTGGAGAGGCCTTCTGAGAAAGTATGTGCGCTCCTTCCTTATCAAATCAATCAATCGATTCCCAAAGTATCACATATTAGAGGTGAGTCTTCCCATTCCATTGAGGAAAAGGAAATGTGTCAGATTAATCTTCTTGGGCCAGATAACACATGCCTATCATGGCTAGATTACCTGTAAACCTTTCGGATTGGTTGCTGACTTGTGGAAAACTACTGATGGCTGCCTAGGAAACAGAGGCAACAAACACAAAGTGTGAGGCAAAAAGCCACAAAATTACCCTTGCTCATCAGGCTTAGTCATGTACAATGATGAGCAATATTAACACCAGCCAACTCAGAGAGCAGCAACAGCCTGAAAATGTGATCAAGGGGGCCATGGCTGACAGGCTCTTGAGAATTATAGGGACTTTGGGGATTACAATTCAGCAAGATCTGAAAGCAGCGTGCTTTGCCACCTATAATAGAGGTGTCAAACCCATATTGTCACGTCATCATCACGTGACATGTCACGACTTCCCCCCCTTCACTAAACTGGGGCTGGGTGTGGCCAGTGCACGATTCAACTGGCCTGCCAGTGGTGTGATTCAAATTATGGGCATGGCTTGGTGGGCGTGGTGTGACATGGCTTGGTGGTGTGGCTTGGTGGGCGTGGCAGGGGAAGGATACTGCAAAATCCCATTCCCTCCCCACCCCACTAACCTGCTTTCCAGCTCCGTTCTCCCGTGCAGGGCAACCAAAGAAGACCCAGCCGACCACCTGGGACTTGGGAGGCAGAGAATAGATGGGGACAGAGACAGTCAGAGGTGGTATTCGCCAGTTCTCCAAACTACTCAAAATTTCCACTACCGGTTTTCCATAACTGGTCAGAACCTGCTGAATACCATCTCTGCAGCCCGCGGCCGCAGGTTTGACATCCCCGACCTATAATGCTTAAAGCCACGCAAAGATTCAGAGATACTTAAGATACTGTCAGGTGCAAGCAACCACACACACACGCACACGCACGCACACACACACACACACACACACACACAGGAAAAACTCAAATTGACTATTTTATTGTATTCTACCTATAGTACAAGAATCTCCCAAGACTGGTTGCCTTTCCTTGGGAACAAACAGATCAGGTTCTTGGAACGTCAGCAGAAGATCAGGCTTATGCCTCTTGTGGCTTTGCAAGGATTCAAGGTTAGTTTCCAGTTAATAACAACAACGTCAGCATATTGCCCCTAACAATCTGTGTCCTCATGTTACCAACTTTAGAAGGACGGAAGGCTGAGACAACCTTGAACACCGAACTCCTGGCTGTGGACAGAGTTAGCCTGCAATACTTCAGTTTAACCACTGAGTCACCAGGTCTCTTAATCCCTTCCTCTTTGCTGGCTGGGAGATCCCCAATGGATATAAGGTCAAACTATAGCGTTACAATTACCTGTGCAAATTGGGTGGGTGTGCCTTCCTACTTTGATACTGTTGATTCTTCTTTAAAAATAATTAAAATTATGCTCCATTCAGAGGGCTCAGCTTCACCATGGGCAATGGATTAAGCCCTTCCTGTTCTGAATTTCAGCACCCAGAACCCAATCTAGAATGAAACTCCAACCCTTTTAATTCAATTTTTGAGCCCGTTCGTTCTGTCATTCATTCCATGGTTCTTATTATGCAATGGATATTAGAACAATTGCCAGGCAGAATTGGTTTCCTTCTCTAGCAACTCCTTTTTGCTCTACCCTGACTGCCTATCTGCTCTCCACTAGTGCAAATAATTTGATTCCCCCTTTCATAGGAAACAAGCTTCTAAGTATCACTGCCCATAAATCCACCCTGGCAAGTATGCATGTATCTAGCACACGCACAGCCTGGTATGTATTTTCCACTGATATGATCTATTCATGTAGCCTTTGATTCTAAGGGAAAGTGTGCTTTGAAATCTGATCCGGTTATGAGTCCGAGCCTTCAGACAAGAGCGGAGTCATCTTCGCATGCTTAGAAGGCATCATAGTCCACTCAGCACCTGAACAGCTGAGAGCTAAGGGATTCCACTCTGTTGTGGCTGGAAAGGCAGCCTTGTCTTCAATGCTCACTCGAGAAAAAGACTTAAAACCTACAGAGGATTTCCTTCCTGAAGGGGGTGGTATGGACGAGGCTCCAATGTTGGCTGCTCTTAGAAGATTAAAACTAGGTATTTTGTATTGATTTAAAGCATCTGCCTGCTTGTCTTTTCTTCCCTCTGTAGCCCATAAAGTAGCCCAACTTTGCCCTTCAAGGCTGCTAAACGTTGTTGTTAGGAGATAATTTTGTGTGGTTTGTTTTTATTGGGTCACTTTTATTGGTTTTTATTGATTGGTCATTTTATTGATTGCGTTTTTACTGGCCGAGGAGTGGAATGAAAGTTCTGTCTCTCTGCCCTTCCAAGGGCAAATCAGCATTCCTCCAGTATACATTGCTCTGCTTGAATTAATCTAAATCTAGAACTTCTGAATGTCTTCTTTTCAAATGGTAAATATAGAAGATATTTTCCCCACACCCACCTTTAACCTGTTAAACATGGAGCAGAGACAAAAAGACATTCTCCTTCTATGTTAGTAGTTCACTAATTGTTCGCCCACATGTCACCTAGCTGGCTCTACCCATTAGGCATTTGGGGCAATCATCAAGGATAACAGAAATTAAAGGCTGTAGGGTCAGCTGCCTATCCAATCTCTGCCTTTGGGAACACAGAGCTATATATGCAACTGGAATAAGAAGGATAGGATCCTAATCTATTCATAGGAATGTTTAAGACATCAATGGCCACTGTTTGAAGAGCATCATGATTTGTGGATTACATGAGTACACAAGAAAGTTAAAGATAATTCTCATTTTGCAAACTCTGGCTCTTCTTAGCTATATGTGACTTTGAGGTGTAGCTTACTCAACTTTTCAGTCAAGTACTAATAATACTTCTACTTTTGGCCAGAAAAAGAATGGAAACTGATGAGTATTTACTCTTACTCTGGAGTAGCACCAGTGGTAGATAGGTAAAATATGTACAGAGTTTACATTATTTTCTCCATGGATTGGAGACGGTCACTTTCTCATTTCCTGTGGGCCTACATTTAAATACATGGACTTTGGGTTATGGTGGAGTTGTGACTCAGAAATCCAAGCCAGATTTAATCTCTCATTTCATTTGTAACATAAAAGTTATCTGTTAGTAACAGTAAGCTATTATCTCGCTGCACAAGTTTCCAAATTGCCCTGGGATAATGCAATGAACAGGTGTTTGTGGTACCACTGTGGTACCTCTCTGTCCAGCTTGCAATGTGGAGGTGAAAACCATAGATTAAATGCAAGACATGTTGTCCTTTCATTTCAGAGAGAAACTCCTACTTCTAGAGAGAAATGGGGTAAAATCCCTAGGAATATTTGTTTCTAAGCGATTCTCCACTTCCTTTTCCTCCAATTTTCTTAGATTTTGTAGAGGGATTGGGGGAACTTTCATTTCTACCATCGCCATTTAGTCCTCACCCAGCCATTATTTTGAATGATCTATCGTAGAGCAGTAGTCAAAACTCTATATTATAATAACTTGGCTCATGCAGGATTTCTGCTGCCTTCTTAAAGGCCACTCTCACTTCATAAAGAGAAAACTGATACGGCCTCTTCTAATATTGGTGTCCAGGGTAACCATTCCTGCTAGTCCTCAGGGTATGTATGACTCAGCCTTGAGTTCAACCCACTTTCAAAGATTCTCCAAAGCTGGAATATTCAGAAGACAATTTTACCACGCTAAGGCTGCATAAGTGATTGGTGGTAAATTCGTAACATGGAATTTGACACAGACATATCATTTTCAGTAGCAACTTCCTCTTAGAACCAGGCTAGTGCAGAAATGCAGAAACCTCTAAATGACCTCCAGATGCTTTAGAAGCTAAGTCCCATGATCCCTTGCCACTGTCCATGTTGGCTGAGGTTGATGGGAGTAGAAGTCCAAGACATTTTAAAAGCACCAGGTTGCCCATCAAAGCATCAGTGTCTCCTCAACCAGTTGGTTTGTTCTTTCACCCACCCACCCTCCCAACCAACCCAATCTCTCCTCCACCAACCTGTCTGGGGTGGACAGATACTTCTGCTTTTGGAATTTCTTCTCTAGTCCCATCAACTGCAACTCTGTGAAGATGGTCCGGCTGCGGCGAGGCTTTTTCAAGGGGAGGGTGGGCTGTTCTGTCTCGGATTCACTGCTTCCGTGAGTTTCGTTGGCTTGGGTCTCTGAACAGATGTTTCCCGAAGGTGGAAGTGGTGAGAGAACCCGAGAGGTGCTCACTGAAGGAATGAAGTGAGAGACTGCTGAAGGCTGTCTGGTAATGACAGAGATGAGTGGATAAGCCCGGAGAGAAGAGGAGCCTGGGAAATAAACATCAGAAAGAAAGGCATTACTGAGAGAGGTTGGCTAGACAGATTGTTTCATCTTTAAGGTCCCAGCTCTACTTTGATCAAGATTTGATGAATGCATAGTTACATAGTGGATAACATAAGTACGTCAGCTGGGACCACCAAAGACAGGATAGAGGTGATCCTTCTTTTTAGTGCCTTCCATTTTCTTTCTTTTGCTTAAAAAAACCATGTTCCACATGCAGCATAAGCTTTAAGTGATTACCTACAGGCGGTGGTGGGATTCAAGTAATTTAACAACCGGTTCCCTGCCCTAATGATTTCTTCCAACAACCAGTTCACCAAACTACTCAGAAAGAACAACCGGTTCTCCCAAAGGGGTGAGAACTGGCTGAATCCTACCACTGCCTTCAGGCACCAATCGATTGGGGGTGGTATCGGAAAAGAGAGTCCCTATTAGTACAAAGAAGGTAGTTTCTCTTCCCTGTTCAAGGCTCTCAGTCCTGAATGGACCACCATGCATTTCCAATTAAATATACAAAATCATAAAACTGGGGCGGAAGACATGTAGATTGCATGTGATCTAGTTAAGGCCTATGCAGCTGTTCCAGCCTCTGACATGCTATTTGCTTTGATTTTCATCCTTAGGAATTAGCATTGGACAGTCCAAGAAGCAGAACATCAAGGCATGGCTGGCTGTTACTTTCTTACAACCTGGGAAGAAGCATTTATGGACTTCAGGAAATTCATCTATTGTACTGAAGGTAAATGAGTTTGTTTATTTATTTATTTATTTATTTATTTATTTATTTGTCAGTTGTTTACAAGATACAGGTATAAGAATAATAAGATATAAGAGTTTCAGTGGAGATATTGTAAAACCCCGTTTCATTTTCTTCATTTTAAAAAGAAAATTAATGGTCTATTGGCAAGCAGAGCCAACTTCACAAATCAGTGTTCTAGAGGCTATTGTGAAATAAATGTAATACACCTTACAGCGCTAAGGGAAAAGCTGCAATTGTTTGTAGAAGTGTTAAGAGTGCTTGTCTCCATTGGAAGTTTGGACAAATCAATTTATTTTATGTCTGGACTTGTTTGGCATGTGAAAAATTCAACATATCTAAAGCATGATATTATATGGACATTATTGTTGTTTGCACTTCGCACATTTTATGCATTTGATACTCGAAACACTTTTGTAATTTGGAGTGTTCTTTATTCTGAAATATCTACCTTTAATGACTGTTGGTACATTTTCTGAATAAGAGGAGAGTAAAAATCTACAACAGAAGGGTTTTGGCCAAGGTATTTAGAGACATGAGTGTGAACCAAGTCAATGTACTTAAAAACACAAGCCAAATAAATTCAGAAGCATGTGTTTGTGCATATGTATGCTGGTACACTTTCCATGTTACTTGAGCATGGATGCTTGTAAATAAGTAAAATATTTAGGTTGAAGAAGAAAGCATGGTAGCAAAATCATTTTTCTGCAAACAATGTAGCAGGAAAAACAACACAGTTTACTTAAAAACTGTTTTGCTATCAAGATTCTTCCATAGTTTTCAGCGGAGACACCAAGGAAACCACAAACGCCGTTAAAAAGTAATAAATCAATGACACTCAAAAACCACAAACGCCATTAAAAAGTAATAAATCAATGACACTCAAAATCTATACTCAACCACAAAGTCTGGAAGATTGAAATCATTACAGGGAAGCATTTTTGTTTAGCAAAGTCTTTCTTCTTAGCACATCAAAGTCGTTGGGCTATAATGGTACTTTCCGTATTTGGGTGGGGTTCGAGGACAAGAAGGCCATGGGTGGCTGCAGTTTGGAAGAGTTAACACAACTTTAAGGGAAGGTGGTGGAAACTTCATAATTAGCTCACAGGGAAATGAAAAATAACATTTAGCCGACACAGGTAAAAAGTTATGTCCAAAAAAAAATATCTGGTTTTTCCTAACCTTCATCTTTCAATTTCATGGAAAAGGAAGTGTGTCTGCCTTTTTTTGGAGGGGAGGGGCTCCCAAGGAGAAGAGCCATTTTGCTGAAGTTGCCACACCTGGAGTGCAAAGTTGTTCAAATCAACCGGCTGCCAATTGCCATGTTGTAACTGAAATCTGAACTCTCTGTCTCTCCCTGCCCCGATTTCTCCCAGCATCCATGGTTTTATCAATCCATTTCAGGGACCACCTTGGAGTTATTTTCCCCATGGCTTTGAAGATTATGGTTTCCACCACTTCATTCTTCTGCTTTGGTTGTACATCTGGATAGCTCCGCTGGTAGTAAGGAGGAATTTGTTGCGTCTCACGATCCTTTAGGGTGGAGAGTGTAACTGAAACTGTAGGAGGGCCAGGGAGGGTGGAGAAGAAACTTCTGAAGAAGTTTGCAGTACTATGGCAACGAGGAAAAGATGGTGTGTGCTGTCAGTGGTATGATGAGTGAAGAGGTCATTGGCAGAATGGTACATGGGGTTTATCCTTATCCTACCATTGCCTTGGAACAAGGCACTGGTAGCCATGAATGAGAGGACTCTTCTTCACCTACATTTCTCTTTAGAACATAATCATAAAGCTGGAAGGGACCTTTGAGGTCTTCTAGTTCAATCCCCTGTCAAGGCAGAAAACCTTATCACCATCTTGGTCAAATGGCTGTTCGGCTTATTTCTGAAAACCTCCAGTGATTAACTGTTCCATTGATTAATTGTTCTGACTGTCAGAAAATGTCTCCTTACTTCTAAGTTGGATCCCTCTTTAACAAGATTCTACCCAATACTTCTTATCCTGCCCTAAGGTGCTTTGGAGAATAAATCAAAATCCTCCTTCTTGGATACTGGAAGACAGCTATGATGTCCCCCTGCCCCAATCCATGATTATCTAGTTCCCTTAACTGTTCACTGTCCACTTCCATGCCCCACTACCTTTGTTGCTCTTCTCTACACACTTTATTTTTCATTTTTATTATTTCTTTATTCTTTCCTTCTTTAGGACAAGGTCACCTTCTGGTCAGTGCAACCACTTCTGATCAGGTTGTATTCGTTCATAAGTTTTCTCTTCCCTGATTCAGTTCTAAGCCTGAAAGCCAACACATTTAGTAGATAACCACCTGTAGAATGAATGAATGTTTATCATTCAGCCTTTCCCAGAATCGCCAGAGAATCCCCAGACTGAAAATCCAGCTAGCTGTTTACCAAACCTGAGTTAGAAGGATTCATATTTCTAAGCGATGTAAAGTTATTTAACTTTTCGGTGTTTTTAAACTCATAAACAAAAAAGTGGGGAAAAAACCTTAGGGCTGCCTTTCAAGTTAAAAGGAAAACAGTTAAAAAAAAGAGATAAACAATTAACCAAGCTCGGCAGATAAGATGTTGGCCATAAACTCAGATGACCCAAGCTCTATTCTGAGTTCTGACTCATGGCATGACCTTTAACAAGTCACTTTCCTTCCCCATCTCCATTTCATTTTCTGGCATCCCACTCCTCAAAATGCTGACTTGCAAATAAATCCCATTAATTGGAAAAATCATTGTTGTCATCAGTGTTCGTCCCTGTACAGGTAGTCCTCAATTTATTACCACATTTGACACCAGAATTTCTGGGCTAAGCAAGGCCTTTTTTAAGGGAGCCAGGCCCAATTTTCATTTGGCCATGTTTTTTTGGCCACGGTTGTGAATGAATCACACAGTTGTTAAATGGATCTGGTCCCATCCCCCCGTTGACTTTGCCTTTTGGAAGCTGGTTGAGAAGGTCAAAATGGCCAATCGTATGACTCCGGGATCCTGCAATTGTCATTAACACATGTCATTTGTCAAGCACCCAGATTTTGATCATTGCAGAGATACTGTGATGGTCGAAGTGTAAGAATTGGTGGTAACTCACATTTTTCAGTGCCGTTGTGATTTTGAACAATCGCTACATGAATGGTTGTTAAGTCAAGGACTACCTGTATACTATTCTCATTTTGACAATCAACCTGCAAAGCAGGTTAATGCTGTCATCCTATCAGGGTTTTTTTTTATTCTCTCTTTCCACATGAGGAGTTTTTCTTTTTGTATGTTGAATGAAACAGCTAAAGCTTCCCCTTAAAGCAGAGGTCTCCAACCTTGGCAACTTTAAGCCTGGTGGACTTCAACTCCCAGAATTCTTCAACTTCCAGAATTCACCTGTAATCGCCTTTCTTGAACTCTGTGAAGAATGATTTATAGGAGCAGAAGCTCTGCATAACCAAAGGGAACTCATGTGAGTCATACTGTTTTGCACTGAGCTGAAGGTAATCAGATCTGTTCCATCAGCAGGACAAGACTGGAGGTGGAAAGAACAAGATTTACAAGGATCCCCAATTCCTTCCCTTGGTAGCTTTCTTGAATGTCTCCAAGGGAATAAATGAATTGATTGGCCAAAGCCCACTTAAGTGAGTTCATGGTTAGGATGAGATTTGAAAGGTCAACTTCCTGGTTGAAGAGTCCACCATTAACACTACCTGGGCACAACACAATGTGCTAAAGAATAATAATATGAGTAGGACCACATAGAAGCTGGTTTGAGTTCCAATGAGAATTGTTTTGTTGAGAAGAGTAGAAATAATTTTCAGAAACTGGAAAAATAATAATATTAACAATTGGATTCATGTGACTCATCTGTGGTTGGAAAAACAATGTTATCTGTGAATACAAAATGACCCAATATGTTTTTCTGTAGCAGATATTTTTATAATGTTATAGAACCATTAATTTCCCCCCTAAAATAAATTTAGAAATCTGTTTGATACTTGGTATGTTTGTTGGAGGAGAGGTGTTTATGTTTTGAGTTGTAGCTTTATTTTTAGATGATAGATAGACGATAGATAGATAGATAGATGATAGATAGATAGATAGATAGATAGATAGATAGATAGATAGATAGATAGATAGATAGA